TCCCGGTTCTGGTGCCTCAGTGTCTCTGTGTTCTCTGCAGGAGGGAGAGTCTCCTCCTGGTGGAGAAGCTTCCTCTCTGCTCACCACATAGTTCAGTCTGTACAGCTGATGTAGGTTTTTGTGGGTGTAGATGCAGGTGGAGCAGGTGAGGGGTACTTGAGCTGGTCTGGACTCTGGGGGTCCACATCTCTCTGGGACTTGTGGTCTGAAGGAGCTCAGCGAGGTGTGTTTTAATGTTGCTGAGCTCGTTGCCTCTGTGGATGAATCAGTAGATCATCATTTAGATGTTGGGTCCTAATTAGGGTTTAATCTTAATCTTTATGTGTCCCCCCCCAATATGAGATCAATGTCTCTGGATAAATTGTCCCCATTTGTGTGTTTGCTTCATTAGCATGTGATTGTTTTTTCAAGGATTGATTGTAAGGACAAAAATAATGAAAATGTGTGTAATTCTTTTTGATCCAATTTGATTTTAACTTTAAATCTTTCTGAATGTGTTCAAATCTAATTTCTAACAAGAACCTTTTTAAAGCTTCAGCAAACCTCTGATATTATCATTAAATATTTTCTTCAGATACTTCTGCTTTATTATTATATTAAGGTTAATATAATGTTTTGTCCCTCCATGTATTACTTTGGGTTAACAGGAATATAATTGTATGAATTTAATGTTAATAAAATACTTTTATAGTAAATTGTGTCCACTGGGCCTTTTTTTACACATTAGCTTTGTAGAAAGATTTAAGAAACGTGTGAAATTAGTTATTCTACATTGAAACACGTCAGGCTACAAATCCACTTCATTCATTTTCTTCCATCAAAGACACAAGTTGAGACCTTTTTGTTCTCACGTGTACACGTGTACACACACACACACACACACACACACACACACACAGGTCAGAGGTCATTTTCCCATGAAACATTTTTCTGACCACTTTGCATTTCTAAATAGTTGAAATCTACTTCAATGCACGTGGAACCAAACCAACCAGCAGAACCGTCCCGTCGGTGTCATCTCCTGCGTCACCACGGGGGGGCGTGTTTCCTCATGAGCGGATTTACAACCAACCACAAGTACCACAAAGCATCTTCTAAAGAGAACTCTCATCTGATGTGAAGCCTTTTATTTCCTCCATTCATCCGTTTGCCTCCTCTTCACATTTCTTCTTCTCTGAATCTGAAAACATGAACTGAGGAAAGAAGAACGGAGGCGCCGGTTAATCTTTTAGGGGAAAAGCAGTTTTTATTAGAAGTCATATACAAAAGGAATATTCCATGGTAGGATTTTATAAAACGTCCACATCGATCAACAGATCGCACAACGAGGCAAACACACACACACACACACACACACGTCAAAGCTTCACATGGTTTAGAAAAAGACGCCTGTGTTGTTCCGTTTGGATGCATAGCTTTGAGTACAATTATTTTCAGGGTTTTTATTTTGAAAAACTGTCCGACTGACTGACCTGAAGTGAGATAAAAACAAACATCATTAAAACATCTGGATTTCTTTGTCATTTTGTCATCGTAGGATTGAGTTACGCTCAAGTGAAGACTCTTTTCATCAAATCCCAGTAGATAATAAACTGACTGTATAAAAACTACATTCATCAGGCGGTGTGACGACGTCACGCCGAGCCGAGAAGAACCGGGAGTCCAGAACCACGTCAACAGCAGCTGATGCTGCACCTTTCTTCCTCTGGTTCTGCTTGTTTGGATCAATGTTTGTATAAAAAGTCTTCTTCCTAAAACATGGGAATCAATCTGAGATCAACTCGTCTTTACTTATTTAGTCATCATTTGTTTCAGATTATAGAAATAAAATATAACGGATAAAACAATGTGTTTGAAATACTGAAACAAACAGAACAATATCAGCATAAAGAGCCCAAATATTCTGCAACGCTGTGATTAAAACTTTTGTGTTTCCTAAACAGTTTAGTTATTAAATAATAACTTTATTTACCGTTATAGTAATATAACTAGTGCTAATTGCTAATGCTAATAGCTGTCATTGTTACGGGTCAGTAAGAGGCCACTAGAGACTCTTTTATTGAGACATGAAAGCTGGGAAATGTGCATGCTAGCAATTAGTGCTAACGTTGTGTTTGCTAATTGGAAGTTTATGTTTACAAATAGTGTTGAGGCCCCGCCTCCTTGTGCTGGACCAATCAAAAAGAGTCACTGGATGAAACACAAAGAGGCCGGATAACTTGTTCTGTTTTAAACCACTACGGTTCACATCACTACACTTTACTCCAAATGTAACTTTATATAGCTAACGTAGCTACGTTAAAATGTAACGTCGTTTAGCTAACTAGCTTAGTTAGCAGTCACAGACGTCGTAGTATCTGTGATAGTTACTGACATTTTTACATGGTCCGTCTGTCACATTAATGTGTAATTTATGGTACAATTTACACAGGATTAAGTTCTCTAGCCGTTGACTATTGTAGATTTTTCCAAAATAAGGTTCCACCGAAAGGTGAATAGTAAAAAGTAATAGAAATATCTGTTTCCACTAATGAAAGGCAGTCACTTTATACCACTATATGCAGAATTAAAATACGTTGATTTCAGCAAAAATAAGAGGTCTGTGGTTCAGTTTAGCATTTAGCATTTAGCTTCTCTAGAGTTGAAATCTAAATGAACTCGTCTCAACTTTAACATCCAAAAAAAGCTAAAGACTTTGTGAAGAATTTAAAAACCCCTCAAAGTGAACAACGACATGCCGACACCACGTTCCTACAAGAGTATAAATATATTCTCTCATCTGAAAACCATTATTATACACGCTGCATTGTTCATTTTACCAGTAAAGGGACTCGTGGGTCCTCGTCTGATTCCGCTGGTGCAACAGGAAGTTTGAAAAGAGGAAACAAAGCAGGTTGTTGGTCGGTCAACGCGACAACGACGGGAAAGTTCTGAAGAAAAGTTTTTCCATTGGAGGATTTCTGTTTTTTCTTTGTGCGGTGAGTTTTTGAGGATGGGTCAAAGGTCAAACTGTGAGGGGGTGCGTGGGTTAGCAGATTAAAATGCTCTTAATGTTCTCCTTGTGAGATTCGTACAGAGGCCTCGATGTCGTTGCTGTTAGCAAATGACACGACATTCCTCAGAAAAATGGAAACTTTTGCTCTGGAAGTCCTTGTGACAAAAGAAATAACTGCTTCTGTCCTGCAGCTTGTTTTCTCCACCTGAAGAATCCTGATTGAGCCGCATGAAGGAAGAAGAGCCGCCGCCAACAGCTGACGGGGTGATTGTCTGGAGGTTTGTGCGATTTGACACTCGTTGTGCGTTGGATTCTTTAAACGGTTGACTTTGGTTTCTCCAACGAAGGAGAGCTGAAAGGAATGTCAACATGCTGCGGAAACATTTAGTTCTTAGCCGTGTGTTAGCAAGGTGTTAATTGTCTGTTAGCGGTGTTAGCTTAGCGCAGTGTGGCGCCCCCTAGTGGTGGTTGGGCAGGCGCTCTTGGCTGCTGCTCCTTTGGACGCAGGCCACGGCGTCCCTGTACGCGAGGGCCAGCGGGAGCCGGTCGTACATCTCGCTCAGCGCTGTGAACTTTGGGCCCACTGCGAAAGCCGGTCGCAGGCCGACCCCCCCGGCCCCTCCTCCTCCTCCTCCTCCTCCTCCTCCTCCTCCTGCTGGTCCCTGATGAGAGCCTTCCTGCGCGATGCGGTCGACCCCAGCGAGCTGAGGCTTCCCACCGCCGACCCCGAGCCCTCCACGCACCACACGTGGTAGGCGTCCACCGGCAGCGCCTCACCGTCCTTGTCCGCCTCCCAGATGATTCGCGCCACGTAGCTTTTAAAGTCCACGCGGGGGGGCGGCCCCGAAGGGGCGTCGCCGTGGCAGCCGGCAGTGTGCTGGAGGTGCTGGAGGTGGTGCTGGTGGAGGTGGTGCGGGATGCTGAGGTAGGGAGCTCCGGAACTGCAAGAGGAGCCGGCCGGGTGCACCTCCTCCTGGGAGCCGGGGGAGGACTTGATGAGCGGCGCCGTGGTGCAGGAGGAGGACTGAGACAGGCTGGAGCACAGCGGGCGCTTCAGCTCGGTGATGTCATACCCGTTCTGGATAGGAAAGGATGCAAGGAAGCAAGGAGGGAGAGAACACACAACCTTTTAATGATCAGATCTGTGTCTCGTATCTGTATCTGTGTCACATACGGAGGTCAAATGCCTTCAGTTATCAAGCTCCTCTTTTGTGGAACCAGGTTCCACTTTCAGTCCGGGGGGCAGATTCGGTCAGCTCTTTCAAAGTAAAACTTAAAACGTTCCTCTTTGATTGTGCCTATAGTTAGGGCTGGCTCAGGTCAGCCCGGACCAGCCCTTAGTTAAGCTGCTATAGGCTTAGACTGCCGGGGGAATTCTTAGGAGACACCGAGCTCCTCTCTCACGCTCTCGTTCTACCATAATCCACGTTTTATTAATGCACACGACTAATTCAGCTTCTTTCTGGGAGTTTTTTGATGGTGGTTCTTTGTGATGGTGGTTCTTTGTGATGGTGGTTCTATGTGATGGTGGTTCTATGTGATGGTGGTTCTATCTGATGGTTGTTCTATCTGATGGTGGTTCTTTGTGATGGTGGTTCTATCTGACGGTGGTTCTATCTGATGGTGGTTCTATCTGATGGTGGTTCTATGTGATGGTGGTTCTATCTGATGGTGGTTCTATCTGACGGTGGTTCTATGTGATGGTGGTTCTATCTGATGGTGGTTCTATGTGATGGTGGTTCTATCTGATGGTGGTTCTATGTGATGGTGGTTCTATCTGATGGTGGTTGCCCCTGCAGTTTTTGGGACAGAGGATGTTGTACGTGTACAGACTGTAAAACCCACTGAGGCAAATTTGTAATTTGCGATTTTGGGCTCTACAAAATAAGATTAATTGAATTGAATTGAAATGAGGTCATTACAAAAGTTCAGCAACACGCGTTAATTACTGTTCATTACGGGAGGACAATGTTTTCAGATAAAGGTGTCTTTAAAAGAAACAACTTAGTTATGTGTAATAAAGATGATGAAATAGTTGTTAGGTTGCAATAAAATAAATGCAGGTTCTGTTTTTATCTATTTGCACCAAACAAAGAAATAAACAGTTCCCACATAGAAACGACCTGATTGAGATAATGTTCTGGTTTCAGTCTCTGCTTTTATTTATTTGTAATCGTGTGTGTGTGTACCTGGTCCTGCTCGCCCCCCCCCTCCTCGTTGTAGTTCAGGATGTTTTCTCGGATGTCCTCCCAGCTCTCGTGCTCGGCGGGGATGTGATAAACTCCTCGCTTCCTGAACTTGTTACGGCTTCCTTTCTGGTTCCACACCGTCACCGCCACCAGCACGGCTGCACACACACGCGCACGCACACACACACACGCACACACACACACACACGCACATACGCACGTTCACACACTGACACTTTAAGCACACACAGAAGTCAGTTCCCTCCTGTAGTGTCCTTTAGCCGGTTTTTTAAAAAACACAATGGAAGGGAGGATCTCCCACAATTTACCCC